GAGCCATACCAATGCCCAGGTTGTCCTAATTACTCAATTGTCAGTGAAGAGAGCACCAAGCCCAGCAATTATGCATCTTTCCACCTTGTCCGTCATTTGCAATCACAGAGGCACGTTAAACAGCTTGCACAAAACCACAGACATTAAAGACAATACACAATAGAAAATTATAAACCCATAACCCACTGAGACATCAGGTTCATCCTTCTGTAATGACAACTTAAAGTGGGGCTGGTGTGGTGGCTCAATTGGCTCATCCTCCACCTGCAGCACTGGCATCCCAAATGGGCACCAGTCTACTCCCAGCTGCTCCATTTCCCATCAGCTCTCGGTTTATGACTTGGGAAAGCAGTGGAGAATGGTTCAAGTCCTTGGCCCCTATATCAGAAGAAGCGCCTAGCTCCTTCCTTCAGATTGACTCATCTCCAGTCATTGCAACCATTCAAGGAATCAAACAGTAGATGGAAGAGCTCTCTCTCTCCTTCTCCTTCTCTCTATAAGTCTGCTTTACAAATAAAATAGATATATTTCTTCAAGAAAACTACTCAAAGAAAGAAACTTGCAAATAGAATTTTCAGCTAGAGGGGCCAGCAAGTTAAGCCATCGGCTATAAGGTTGGCAGCCTCTGTGGGTACCCAATTGTGCAGTAAACCAGCAGGTGGAAAATTGATCTCTCTCACTCTCTCTCTAACTCTACCTTTCACATAAAAATAAATACATCTTTTTTTTAAAGAAGAATTTTCAACCAGAAATTTCAGATTTAGGTTTTACTAGCAGCAAAATATGGGAAAAATAGGAAAGATCCAAGTCCTAATGGTGAACAAGTCAAGTTGGTAGCAAAGTTCAATCAACATGCTTCCTGAGCACCAGCATAACTAGCCCCTGGAGAAGAGCACCGGTCCTACTGGCCACCAAAAATTCAGAAGTAATTTAGAGAAGAAACTGATAAACTGAACCATTTGAAAAGAAGACCATAGGTCAAGCCATCAGCTGCAATGGGAGACCTGCACATCACCATGACTCTGTTACACCCTCTGCAGGGAGCAGGCCCTCAGGCTCACATGGGTTCTCTCCTCCCCCGGCTTCAGTGATCCACGTTCCTCCTTCCCCTGGCCCCAGGTGTCCTTCTTCTCAGTATCATTCTCTCCCAGACTTCCTGTGTCTGTCCCTAAAAGCTCAGGATTAGGCCTTCTTGTCCCTTCTCTTCAAATTCACTCCCCTAAGGCTCTTCATCACTCAAAGTCTGCTGCTTTGATGGCTCTCCTAAACCACCTGATAACAGACATTTCTACGTGTATACATTGGGCATTACCTGAAATGTACACATGTCACATCAGATTCGCCCTCTTCTCAAAACTGGACTTCACTATTTCACTTTGCTGTCATGTTTCCCACCACACACACGCACACACACACACTTTCTCACCAGAGGATTAAAACCAGCACTACCTCAGCACATTCATGCCTCAAATGTGGCCCAGCTTTGCCTGAATCCTAATCCCTTTGCCAGGGATTGCCTTGCCCCTTCCAAATGGAGTGTGAACTCCTTAACAGGCAAAAACTGTAGGGTAATCACTTATGCAAATCCAGGTCAAAAAGCCTGCTGGGAAAGTGAACAGATTAGCACATATGGTTAATCTGTTCCAGCCAAACTGGTCCATTTGGAGTCTCCACCTGCTTGGCATTTCCACTTCCCAAAGAGTTCTCTCTCTCTCTCTCTCTCTCTCTCCCTCTCTCTCTAAGACATAGGAAGGTGTAGGCCTTTGTTCACACTAGTACAGCTGGTTTGGGCAAAAGCCTGGTTTTGAGTCACTTAATGCACCTATGAAGATGATAGTTTTCATGACAATGAACTGGTACCAGAAAACGAATGAGTGTGGAATTGTCTTGGGCAAAACATCATGGTGCAGATGGGATTTAAGCTGAATCTTGTGAAGAATGGATAGTGTTTTCTGTGTGTGCAATTAGGAGAGAGAGAGAGAACTCTTTGGGAAGTGGAAATGCCAAGCAGGTGGAGACTCCAAATGGACCAGTTTGGGGGAAACAGATTAACCATATGTGCTAATCTGTTCACTTTTCCAGCAGGCTTTTTTGACCTGGATTTGCATAAGTGACTACCTTACAGTTCTTGCCTCTTAAGGAGTTTACATTCCATTTGGAACTTCCTATGGCTTATTTTTCTCTGATGTGAAAAGAAGTAAATAATAGTTATCTTAGAGAATCTGGATAGGCCTGAAGGCAAGTAAACCATTTACAATCCAGCAGGTGTCGAACCCTCTCCCTGCACCCCCCTGCCCATAATCATTTACTATTTATAGACCTGAAGTTGCCCTCCCAACCCCCCAATTTTAACAGCTGGTAAGATCCTTAAGGACAGGAGCTGAATTTCATTCATCTTTTCACGTCTTAAACATCTGCCAATGTACCAATGCACAAAATAAAAATCAAGCATAATGATATAACAGTTGTAGGTGATGGCAAGCAAGAATAAATGGTGCCAAGGCTAGAATCTCCATCCAATTTAGCTGTAAAGCTCTTCTACAATTTCACTCACGCCAAAGACTGATATCAATCGAAGACTATGAATAAAGGCAAGCCCTTCTCTAAAGCGCACAGTTAAGAGGTATTAGCACACTGAAGGGAGCTTCAGTTAGATGTTACAGCTTTAGGATGCCCTCCACACCTCAATTGGTTCCCATGCACAGGTTTCCTTACACACATTGTAATGATCAAAACAGAGATCTCATCAGACTACTTGTTAACTAACTGAAACTAGATTGCAATTTTCATATTTTAGGCTAGGAAAAAAAAAATGAAAGGGTAATACTAAGGGGGAAAATGGCAAGATCCAGATCTGAAATGTGTGCAACTTATGCATAAAATCGATCATAATCTCTCCTTAATTCGTCTCCCTTCTGAGACATTTTGTAAACAATCAAGACTTGAACATCTTCTCTGAATTTTACTGGAATCTTTCATTTCCATCTTGATTTATCACAGCCTTCCTGCATCATATGTTATCTTTTTCAAGGATCAATTCCCACGGCTAAGTTTCCTTTTCTTTTTCTGTTTTATTTAATCACTGCCCCACTTGCATGCACTAACAAGTTGGAAGAGCTGCAGCTCTCACAACCAGCCCTTCCTTGCTTCTCTCACTTACATTCCTGCTTCCTGCAGAGGCTGCTTTAGTCTTTTTCAAACTGGATGTGCAACTGTGAGTTTAATTTTTTTAAAAAGCAATTACTAATGGGAGAACGTGTGTTGGATCCTTGCCTTTTCAGTAGCTTCATTCTTCCACATTATTCTTGTTCTGTGGTAGCAATTGAGGGCATTCAGTTCCATAAGATAAAATCCACCACAGCAGAGAATATAAATCTGCACATTAGTATATAAGAAAAAGCTAAAAGCCCAGAACTAAAGGCCAATTCTAATCATTATGCAACCACCTATGACATATGCAACTTTATGTACATATATACATATGAACAATAGCAAAGCCATGGCCTATGGGTGGATATAAAATAGTTTTATAGCATATATTAAAATGCTTCACTAGATACAACTGCAAGGTATATCCAAGGAAAAATAGAATCTAGTTTTATAACATGTGCACAGTCTAGATAATAATTTTTGTAGCAAGTACCATTCCTTATTTGGATTTACATACTTGCAGTTAAATTTTAATTTTTAATAGAATATCTAAATTCCCCCTTTTTAGTTAGAACATAGTATAAAGTACAACAGGTTATTTCTTTGTATCTCATAGGAACTATTTTTACATTGGAGTCTTCACATAACATAAACCTTAACTGTGAAGACTTTTAAGGTGCAATTTTAAGGTACAAACAATCCATCCAGGAGTGTTGTGACTTCAGATTTTTTTTTTAATTATTAAAAATTGTGACAGATGGGAGCTGGTGTTGAGGCATACTGGGTTAGGATACCACCTGTAACACCAGTATCCCACATGGGCATTAGTTCAAGACCTGGCTGCTCCACTTCCAATCCAGCTCCCTGTTAATACAACTGGGAAAGCAGTGGAGAATGGCCCAAGTGCTTGGGCCCCTGCATCCAGATGGGAGACCTGGAGTAAGCTCCAGGTTCCTGGCTCTAGCCTGGCCCAAACATGGCCATTTTCTCTATTTGGGGAGTAAACCATCAGATGTAAGATTTTCTCTCTCTCTCTCTCTCCCTCTCTCTCTCTCTCTCCCTCTCTCTCTTTCTCTCTCTCTCTCTTTTTCTCTTCCCGCCTTTCAAATAAATAAAAGTAAACATTTTAAGTGGCATCCTAAAATTACAAGATCCATCTAGGATTACAATTTCCTAGACAAAATTACAATTTCCTAGACAAAATATGATCACACTCTCATTCTCTCAATTAGTTAAAATATTAGCAACATGTCTTTGCAACAACATATATTCATACACAACTCCCTGAACCATATTTTAAAATCTTTCTATATGTGGTAACTTTTGAGCATTCGTGAAATTGCTTAGCATGTTTTTGGATGCTTATGCCTTCCTATGAAATCGTTATGATGGCATATTTCTGGTAGGTTTTATGCAATTTGTACTCTCTTAATTCAGATTATTTAAATATGAATTTGAAAAATATTCTAACCACAATTTTTAGCTCGAGCTTTGCTCCAAACTTCTCACTCCGTTTCACCTTAGTGCTGGAAACAGAACTGAGTGGAAACAATTGCTCAATGCTCTCCGAAAGGTGGAGAGCATCAGAAAGCACAAGCTCCACCCGTTTTCAGTTTCAACACTGCAAACCTGCTGTTTGTTTGTAGGGCAAATTCAAAAGCATACATGGTGATATTGGTTGCTCCTTGAGATAATTTATGCAATCGTAAGCCAAAGATGCCAAGTTGACAAAACGAAAACCATCCAAGTAAGCAAACCCGGCACACAGAGGGCCACGCCCTCTCAGTATATAAGGGCTTGTCCCTGTCCTGTCCTCGGTAGCAAGCGCTCCCTGAGCTCACAGCATCACCATGTCTGTCCGATACAGCTCAAGCAAGCAATACTCTTCCTCCCGGAGTGGAGGGGGAGGGGGAGGAGGATCATCCCTCAGAATTTCGAGCAGCAAAGGCTCTCTTGGGGGAGGCTTCAGCGGGGGCTCTTTTAGCCGTGGGAGCTCAAGCGGAGGTTGCTTTGGGGGCTCCTCCGGTGGCTACGGAGGAGGACTAGGAGGAGGCTATGGCGGAGGTGGCTTCGGCGGAGGCTATGGGAGCAGCAGCTTTGGTGGGGGCTATGGCGGAGGCAGCTTCGGAGGGGGCAGCTTCGGCGGTGGCAGCTACGGTGGAGGTGGCTTCGGTGGAGGTGGCTTCGGTGGAGGTGGCTTCGGAGGTGGCTTTGGTGGTGGGTTTGGAGGAGATGGTGGCCTCCTTTCCGGAAATGAGAAAGTCACCATGCAAAATCTGAACGACCGCCTGGCTTCTTACTTGGATAAAGTCCGGGCTCTGGAAGAATCAAATTATGAGCTGGAGGGTAAAATCAAGGAGTGGTATGAAAAGCATGGCAACTCGAGCCAGCGGGAACCTCGCGACTACAGCAAATACTACCAAACCATTGAAGACCTGAAGAATCAGGTAAGTCCATTTTAAATCCAACTTTGAACCTATTGGTCAAGTAATCCAGGCAGATGAATCTTAAGAACATGGAGCTGTTCACTGTGTTTTTCTATGTTACTTTCTTGCCTCCTCCCCCAACCCCACCAAAAAAAAAAAAATAACCCAAAGTCATTAAAGATAAATTTCTTTTTTGTGAAGTCATGGGCACAGCAGTCTACATCCAATAGATGTGTTGTTTGTCTTATAGAATGGCAGGTTATGGAGAATTGTTTAGGTTTTCCTGAGCACGTAATGAGTCTATTGTTAAAGTATGCTAGATCATTTCTAACTGCATGAACGAAAGAGATGAATCAGAATGAAACAGTATCCAGACTGATACCAAGAAGCCACATGTAGCACCAACACCACGAGAAACATGGATGCTCTGAAACGGAAGTGGGACATGGTTTGCCCCGAGGGATTGTGTGTCCTCTACCTCCAGGGTACCAGTTCTGAGTACAGGAGTATTTATAACCAGTTAAACAAGCACATGTGTGAGTCAGGGGAAAGTTAGCTGGAATACAGAGAACTCTCAGAATAAAAGAGGAGGCCACGATTGTAGGCGTACACCTGTAAAATGTTCTACCAGGAATGATACAAAGAAGCATAGGAACCTCAAAAGAACAAACTCAGATTCAGTCATGTGGGTACAATGTGCACCATTTCATCTTTAAAAGTACAACTTTCCCCAAGATTCTGCACAAGAATAACCTGATCATGCGATTCATCTATGTCTCTCCTTCCAGATCCTCAGCCTCACAACGGACAATGCCAACGTCCTGCTTCAGATTGATAATGCCAGGCTGGCAGCCGATGACTTCAGGATGAAGTAAGCTCGGGGGATGTGGTACACCACCTTTACCACAGATCAGACGATCTTTAACAGCAACTTGGCATGCCCACAGTAGCCTTTGCCTTTACATGAATTCAAAGTTAAACAGCATTGGCATTCTTTGAGAAAATATTCTGTTTCAGTACTATCTTTTGGGCAATCGTAAAGAAAGTGAAGCTTAAAATAACCGTTGGGCTTCTTGGCATCAAACCGCTCCTGTTCTTAGTACGGGATGAATGCTGCCATGGTGTGAACTCAGTTCTCTTGTCGCTTGCTAAACAACCCCTTCCCCGGTGCCCCGCTAACATTCCACGTGTGCACCACGCTTGTTTCAGATATGAGAATGAGCTGACCCTGCGCCAGAGCGTGGAGGCCGACATCAACGGGCTGCGCAGGGTGCTGGACGAGCTGACCCTGACCAAGGCCGACCTGGAGATGCAGATCGAGAGCCTCAAGGAAGAGCTGGCCTATCTGAGGAAGAACCATGAGGAGGTGAGGCCAAAGACCCATCACCCCCACCCAGGGAAAGGATCCCTTCTGGTTCTAGTGCAGTTGCTGAATCTTCCTGTTCCTCCAACAGGAAATGAAAGACCTTCAAAACGTGTCCACTGGTGACGTGAACGTGGAAATGAACGCCGCTCCAGGAGTGGACCTGACTGAACTTCTCAACAACATGAGAAGCCAATATGAACAGCTCGCCGAGAAGAACCGCAAAGATGCCGAAGCCTGGTTCAATGAGAAGGTCAGTCAGCCACCCGGCACACAGCAAGGCTCACTCAGAGGGCAGGGGAGGGTTAGCATTCCAGAATTTTCTGATTTCGCCCCTGTTGTTCATCCTCTAGAGCAGGGAACTGACCACAGAAATTGACAGCAACATTGAACAAATGTCCAGCCATAAAACAGAAATTACTGAATTGAGACGCACCGTCCAAGGTCTGGAAATCGAACTGCAGTCCCAGCTGGCCCTGGTAGGTTACTGCTCTTGAACTGAGTTCTACCCCATACCCAAGTTTAAATAAAACTAGAACACGTGAGCCAAGGAATAGTACTATTTTCATTTGTCTGAAATGCTGTGAGCAAAGGCAGAACCGGCTCACATCCCTTCCTTCATAGGAGGCGTTAGTATGCACCTGCTCAGGGCCTACACTCGGATGAAAGCATAAAACGAGCAGCGCTCTGAGCCGCAGCACGCTCCCCCTTTTGCAGAAACAATCCCTGGAAGGCTCCTTGGCGGAGACAGAAGGCCGCTACTGCGTGCAGCTCTCACAGATCCAGGGCCAGATCTCCTCGCTGGAGGAGCAACTGCAGCAGATCCGGGCTGAGACCGAGTGCCAGAACGCCGAGTACCAGCAGCTGCTGGACATCAAGATCCGCCTAGAGAACGAAATCCAAACCTACCGCAGCCTGCTGGAGGGAGAGGGCAGGTGAGTGGGGCAAGCGGCCCAGGGGACGGGAGGGCAGGGCTTGTCGAGGCACTCGGAGCGTAAGGAGGGATGGGCAGGGACCTGCAAGCTCACCCATCATCTCAGTAACAGCTCCAGGATGAATACTGGGTGGGTGTGTGGGTGTGTGTGTGTGTGCGCGCGCGCGCGCGCGCAAGAGATAAGCTCTCAAACACCTGCCTGGCAGGGCTGTATCTTCTCAGAACACGTGTTATTTTCTGAAATTAACAATGACCTAAAAGGTGAGCCGACCCACGGTGGCTCAGGGTGCAATATAACTTGCTTCCTTGATCTCGTCTAGCTCCGGAGGTGGATCCTACGGCGGCGGGCGCGGAGGCGGCAGCTCCGGGGGCCACGGCGGCGGCTACGGGGGCGGCAGCAGCTCCGGGGGTCACGGCGGCGGCTACGGGGGCGGCAGCAGCTCCGGGGGCCACGGCGGCGGCTACGGGGGAGGTAGCAGCTCCGGCGGCGGCAGCAGCTCCAGCGGCGGCCAGAGCGGAGGCGGAGGCTTCAAATCCTCCTCCGGATCCGCTGGGGAGACCTCCTCCTCGTCCAAGGGACCAAGGTCAGCAGAAACTAGCTGGGGTAATCCTTAGTTTTGAGTTTCTGCGCTGGTTTTGTTGTCTGTAAAGTTCTACAACTGTGTCAATGAGAATTTCAGGCAGTGCATTTGCAAAAAAAAATCTGCCCTTTAAACATAGTTGTCTGTCAACCATTCTGAATTTTTTTTCCCCTCCTCATCCCCACAGATACTAATAAAACCAGAGTGATCAAGACAATTATTGAGGAAGTGACACCTGATGGGAGAGTCCTTTCATCCATGGTTGAATCAGAAACCAAGAAATACTACTTTTAAGTTGCATCTGTTGTGAAAGCCTCCCCTTGCACAGGCCAATGCACACGGATGTCCCGGAAGCAGAATTCCCAGGACCGCACACCAGTCTGCACAGCCTGGGCAGCAGGGTCACTCCTTGACAATAAGATGTCTTCGAGGTGCTTGGTGGTTTCTGGATTTCTTCTTTTCCCTTTACCAGAAAGTATTCTTTAATGAAAAAAAAAATCTTCTGTTCTCATTCACTGATGAATTTCAATAAACTTTCTCACTGATGCAAATGATCTAGATTTGTCAGAAATCGCGTTTCTTTAACACGGTCGGTGGGTTCAGACCAATCGTGGATCTCAAAGCGTGTAAAAGTCTGTGACTCCCCGTCGTTCTTTTGATACGCCGTGGATAGACAGGTTCCAGGTCTTGGCTGGGAATCATTTCCGTCCTGAAAGTTTGAAAAAAATGCAAATACATTCCTCCCAAGTTAAACTGATTGAAAATTTCAATATCCATCTGCCTCATAAAATATCACCCGCAACAAAATTATCTGGTGTTTCTCCGGTGATGCCCACATGGGCAAAGGGGAACTTGTAGGGTCCTGCCTTCCCCAACCCCACTCAGTAACTAGTACGAAAGGTCTAGGACTTCCCAGGGTCAATCCTTCCATCCCTTGGCGGATAAGAACCCAGCTGAACTGACAGTACTCTGCGAGAGGGTCATAGGAGAGGGGACCACGTGCCCCGAAGACTCTTGTCTTGCCTGGTGGGTTCCTGGACTACCCATGTCCCCCAAGTAATAACCTTGATTGGCACTCCCGTTTGCCCCAGACCTGAACTCTGATCCTTAGGTCTGGCTGGCACTCCCCCTGCTGGACAGACCCTACCCTCTCTGCTCCACGATGATGGTGAAAGTCCTGTGTCAATGGGGGCATAGCCCGGACATCATAACCTACTCATACCAAACATTGCCACGGCCCAAGGGCTCTCCGCTTTGGCTCACGTGCTTCTTTTAGTGGGTTTTGGTGTTGGCCATGCTTTGTGGAAGACAGTTTTCTGAGACCCACTGTTGGAGTCCCAGCATGCCATGCTGTTAAGTCCTGTTACAGGTGTTGCTGGGTAAAGAATCTGAGATCCTGCTGTTCCTACAGTGCTGGACCGGCTGCTGTTGAAAAACATTAAAATGTTCATTCTAAAACAGGTGTCCTAGTTCCTGGGACCTGCTGTATTATTCATAATCGGAGATGCCCATTCTTATTCAGAAGAAATAAACGCTTTTGAATTAAGTAACACTGACATACTACCAATGTCATGGCGATGTGGTTGTGTTTCTACCAAGCTTCTACCCGCTCTGTCATCCCCTGGACGGTCTCAGCCAATCAGAGGTGTCTGGTTGAGTGGTGACCCAAGCTGTCATTCCTGAACAATCTGATTGCTCAGTGGTCCTGTCTTCTTACCTTTCCCTCCCCAAACTTCCTTAAAGAAGAAACTTCTGCCCCTGGCTTCGGATCACCTCAGCTTTGGCCATTATGGTACTTAGGGTATGAACCAACAGATGGAAGATGGTTCTCTCTGTCTCTTTTGCTTTCTGTAAATCTGCCTTTCCAGTGAAAATAAATATATCTTTTTCAAAATACTTAAGAACTGTTTATTTCTGGAATTTTCCATGACATACTTTTGGACCATGGTTAACTGTAGGTAACTGGAACTACAGAGCTAAAGAAATGTGTAGAAAAGGGACCCTACTGCATACCACATGGACAAGCACAAAAACATTCTATTTTATATATATTAACTATATATTAACTATCAATAAACCTGATTTTAAAAAAATTAAACGGTGACTGAACATTTATGGTTTTATCTTTCTAGTGTGTCAAATGATCAGTTTCTCCTGCACTTTTTGAATTGTTTTTTACTGATGAAACACTACATATTCATGGACTACAATGAGATAACTCAATACACATTGATAACATGTACTAATCAGGATACGGCAATCAGCATTTCTCGCTCTTGGAAGTTGCTTACTGATTGGAGGCTTGGCGCTTCTTTCTCTCTACAACAGACACTAGCTCATTGTGCGCTGTGGTCTCCCCCACTGCGCTGTGGAACATCAGGGACTTACCCCTTATACCTTTGGCTCCAAAAAAATAAAAACAAATAAATAAAGCAAAGCTTGTACTCTGAGAACTGTGGAATGTGAGATTTTCTTTATATTAAGGAACAGATCACAGGCCAATCAGTCCTCACTGTGGACTTTCTAAACGAGCCTGTCTCGTGAGTCACATTTCAAAGAACCTGGGTTTAACTGTGGCCTGTCTGTAATCAGGCCAGTTCACATTGTGTAACCTGTTATTAGGAAGAAGAACTGGATGTGTGTAGCACAGCGCCTTTAACAACTCCTCCAGGCTCCCTGGGATTTCATTTTGGTTTGTGAACGTGGATGAGCAATGTTTGGACGACTGGGTGGCTTGGTGGGCGATAGGGTGCGTGAGAAGTGAGAGAGAAAGGAACTTGGTAGGTAGTTGCTACTTGATAGTGAGCCAGAAGCGACAGACTTACAGTCACATCCCTTCTCCCGTGGCTCTTGTCCTGCTGATCTCCGAGGTGATCGCCCCGTGAAGGTCCTTCTCCCATCAGAAGTCTGTCTTCCTGCCCATCCCTTCAGAAAAAGGAATAACAATGTTGTTTCAATTCACCTACTTTACCCAACCATCCATTGTCCTATTACCTTGATTCAATAACTGGAATAGATAGAAGTCAAGCCACTACCTGTCACAAACCTTGGCTCCCAGGATGCATGGAAATATTGTGGTTGTTCATTCATTCAGTAGCATTAGCTCCTGTGCCAGCCAGTGGGGATACAATAATGAACAAACACAATGCTTGCCTTTGAAGAGCCACTAAGTAGTAGACATAGACAACAATGAAAGCACCACAAAGAAATGAGCCTGGGGTTGCTACGGGAGCTTTTAAAGGCACCAGTTCAACTCTCAGCTGTTTCACTTCCCATCCAGTTCTTGCTTGTGGCCTGGAAAAGCAGCAGAGGGTGGCCCAAGTGCTTGGGTCCCTGCACCCATGTGGGAGACCCAGAAGAAGCTCCTGGCTCCTGGCTTTGGTTTGGCCCACCTCTGCCCATTGCAGTCATTTGGGGAGTAAACCAGCAGATGGAAGAACTCTCTGTCTCTCTTGGTCTCTGTAATTGTCTTTCAAATAAAAGTAAACAAATATTTTTTAAAAAGAATGCTGCCTTAGCATCTCACGCAGAGTTTAACTATTTGCCGCTGTGGACGTGGCAGAACTAGGGCTGGAGACCAGGCTTTGCCCCAAGCACCTGAGCCACACCATCCATTTGAAGATGAAGCCTGCCCCCTGGTGGACAGGTGTGTCAAGATCCAGCTATCATCAGGGGTCACTGCCAAGATTTGACTCATTAAGGCTTTTAACAGAAGCAGTGTTCTTTCCTTTTCTCATTACTTTTAACTAAAAAATGTGCTTATGGCATGAGCCTTGATGTTCTGAAATACGTGTACATTGTAAAACATTTAATTCTAGCTAATTAGCATATGCATTATCACACATGTTTATGTTTTGTGTGGTGAGATACTTTTAAAAGTTACTGTCAGCAATGCTCAGGTACCTCATGTACCGTTCTTCTCTTTCATGTTGTAAAATGTTCTTTCGGGAAGCCTTGCTTTACATTGGATGGATGCCAACACTGTTCACCCGTTACTTCTCTAAATACTTTAGAGGTTAAGCCATAAGCAGACACTGAAAAGAATCGTAGTTCTATCTCTATTCTAATATTCTAATTTCTTACATTTCAATTTCCACAACTCAACTGAAAGGATCATTTTACACAGCATGTTAAGACCACGGGTGGTCATCTGTAGAGCAGGCCTTTGTATTAACATGCAGCCCAGACTCATGGAGCTTGCGTCTGACATGGGCTCATGGTATTGGGAACATACACCATGTTTTCCCTCTCCTGCACCTGTGACTCTGAACAAAGTGTGGCCAAGCATCTTCACACCTGTCATCCCCACAAGATCTAAACCCAACTGAGTCTACCGAAGTCCCTTCTGTGTCCAACCCTTCACACACACGCCCCCTGCCACTCCCTCAACGAGGAGATTTGGGTCCCTCCTCCTCGCTCAGCCCTTTCCCCTTGATCCCCCAGCGGGTCCCCTGCACACGCAGCCCCCAAGGAGAATGACAGCTGCTGCCATGCATTCCAAGTTCTCCATCTCCCAGCCACTGTGCTAAGCATGATCTTACTTAGTTTCCCAACACACGGATGAAGTAGACACTCCCGGTGGTACTTGAGCAGTTCCCTAATCCCTTTTTGCAGGACTGTCTACAGATTTATTTTTCTTTTCTAGCATACATCACTTCAATGCACCTTTCTGCTGAATTGTCCTAGCAACATTTTCTAGCAGAAGAGTCTGCTTCATTCCAGGCCTCTATTCCTGTCTCTCTCTCAACATCCTTTCCCTCCTCCCACCTTGCCATCCATCTCCCCTCCCACGCACCACATACCTGAACTTCAAGGCAGAGCCTGAAGTTCATGTCTGACTTGGCACCACTTGAATCTTATTCTGGAACTCCCTCTTCCAGGCAAATGCCACTAAGTTTAGTGACCCCTCGTCACACACATTCTCCCCTTTCACCATGCAGGGACTTTGGCACCTGGCTTCTTGTGCCAGCTTTTCTTCCTTCTCCTGCCATCATACCTATGAAGATGACCATTTAAGGTCCAAGTCTAACAGCTCCTGACTCTCTCTTCGGGCACAATCCACTTCTGACCAATGACCTTTAGGCCCAGGCCCTGTGGCTCAACTTTGGTGACACCCAGGTTGTGCCTACTTTCCAGTTCTCAGCTCTAGCTTCCTGTGTCCAGCTTGAACCTCTCGGTACCTGCCTCTGTGTCCCAGTCACATTCAGTCCGTCCCGTGACCATCCTTATCCTCCATCTACCTGGCACTCTGCGTTGATTTTCTTCTTTCTGTGTGATCATCCAGTTCATGATCT